AATCTGGCTGCACACGTGATACGACACCCCCGATTGCAATCGCTACACAGCAGCAATTTGCTGTATACAATTGAATATCGCGACAATGAATGTGTTTGTCTGTGTGGTGTGGCGGAGGGTCTCGACAACAAACGTAGTTAGCGCAATACGTAGCCTAACCCGAACATCTATTACGAAATAATGTTTGCGGATTGTCCGCTTCTATTTGTTGTTGCTCGTGTTGACTAGCACGTCGCCAAACGATCGGTTTGTGTTCAGTAATGACGGAATGGATCGCCAAGGCTTCGTACGGCATCTCTGCCTCTCGAATTGCTCCGCCCTCTCGCACAAATCGCTGCGTGGCTTCGAAACGAAATATGTTTTTCTATTTTACCAGGTAAGGCCCACTGAGCTATGTAGTGACGTGGCCACACAACTCATAGCTCAACAAAGTGGTGTGTCACGTGGACATTGAGAGCAGCCAAATCCTCTAAACGCGTGTCGATTATAAATGTGGAGGGGGGAAAAGGGGAGGACCCGGAGGAAAATCCACGCAACCACCGGGGGAGTGAAAACATGCAAACTCCACATATACAGGGATCGGGATCGAACCCACCACCTCCTGTATACCAGGCATGGTAGTCAACATCTCATAGCCATCGTGGCTTCACCAGCCCTGCCAGGGCCTCGAGCGTGTCTCCCAGTGTCTCCCAGTGTCTCCCAGCGTGTCTCCCTGCGTGTCTCCCAGCGTGTCTCCCTCCATGTCTCCCTGCGTCTCTCTCTGCGTGTCTCCCAGTGTGTCTCCCAGTGTGTCTCCCTACGTGTCTCCCAGCGTGTCTCCCTCCATGTCTCCCTGCGTCTCTCCCTGCGTGTCTCCCAGTGTGTCTCCCAGTGTGTCTCCCTGCGTGTCTCCCAGCGTGTCTCCCTCCATGTCTCCCTGCGTCTCTCCCTGCGTGTCTCCCAGTGTCTCTCCCAGTGTGTCTCCCTGCGTGTCTCCCAGCGTGTCTCCCTCCATGTCTCCCTGCGTCTCTCCCTGCGTGTCTCCCAGTGTGTCTCCCAGTGTGTCTCCCTGCGTCTCTCCCTGCGTCTCTCCCAGTGTGTCTCCCTGCGTGTCTCCCTGCGTGTCTCCCAGTGTGTCGACCAGTGTGTCTCCCTGCGTGTCTCCCTGCGTGTCTCCCAGCGTGTCTCCCTCCATGTCTCCCTGCGTCTCTCCCAGTGTGTCTCCCAGTGTGTCTCCCTGCGTGTCTCCCTGCGTGTCTCCCAGCGTGTCTCCCTCCGTATCTCCCTGCGTCTCTCCCAGCGTGTCTCCTTCCGTGTCTCCCTGCGTCTCTCCCAGTGTGTCTCCCTGCATTTCTCCCTGCGTGTCTCCCAGTGTGTCTCCCAGTGTGTCTCCCTGCGTGTTTCCCTGCGTGTCTCCCAGCGTGTCTCCCTCCATGTCTCCCTGCGTCTCTCCCAGTGTGTCTCCCAGTGTGTCTCCCTGCGTGTCTCCCTGCGTGTCTCCCAGTGTGTCTCCCAGTGTGTCTCCCTGCGTGTCTCCCAGCGTGTCTCCCTCCGTGTCTCCCTGCGTCTCTCCCAGTGTGTCTCCCAGTGTGTCTCCCTGCGTGTCTCCCTGCGTGTCTCCCTGCGTCTCTCCCAGAGTGTCTCCCAGTGTGTCTCCCTGCGTGTCTCCCTGGCCCTCACGTGCCTGCGGCAACGCTGCATTCCGTCAGAGGCTCTGAGTCGGTGCTGACACCTCCACATTCCTATGACGGAAGCCAGGATGACTACTGCCTCAAAAAAGTGTTGCTCATTTTATTGACATCAAATGGATGATGTGCCAAGTTGACCCTAACTAATAACAATAATAATAAAAATATTTACCCACGAAAGTCTAAACTAAAACTAAACTATTTTATTTTTAAAACTAAACTCATTTTATTTTACCAGGTGAGCTATTTAGTTCTTTTCCAGAAGGGGCTTGGCCACAAATGATATCTCAACGAAGTGGCTAATCACGTGGAAATGTATCGCAGCCAAACACTCTAAACGTGTGTTTCTAAATGTGGAGGTAAACCCGGAGGACTCGGAGAAAAGTCCACGCGACCCGGGAAGAACATGCAAACTCCACATATACAGGGGTCGGGATCGAACCCACGACTTCCTGTGTGCCAGGCTTGGTAGTTAACATCTCATAGCCACCGTGACTTCACCGGCCCTGTCAGAGACTTGACTAAAGCGCTCAGCCGTTGACGCTGCGAACATTCGTACGAGTGATCGCGGCCCTCTCGTCATATCTCACCAACAGATGATAATAATAACAACAACAACAAATACTCCTCAGTCTCCTGATGCTGTTGAGTGCGGCATTCCAAGGAGCACTACAGATGGAGGTCATCTGCCCGTGCATTCGGGAATTACCAGGCGCGTTTGGCAGGAAGTTGAATATTTGTTGGATATCATCTTCATCAGCCATGATCAATCCACTGGTGGATGAAGGCCTCCCTAGTCCGAAAGCTAGAACTCATGACCCACTCGACCCCAAATGAAACGCAAGGGCTAACTCTTCGCCAAGACCCTCAGGGCATGAGACTTTGTGTGTGTGCGTGTTTTGTAAGCAGTTGCTGAGCACAGGTCCAGAGACCCAAAACATCTTGCAGCCAGAAACAAACAGCACTGCCTCCCAAAAGAGCAATCGAGTGGGTCAGATTCACATTATGACCAAACAGTCGTTGGAGCGCATCGCCGTCGGTGATTTCCCCCCCATCGCCGTCACGGCTTCCCCAGAATCTCAGCCCCCCCCCCCCCCAAATAAAACAGAGAGCATTCACTCGCACTGCCAGTTCGGCTCCTCCGTGAATCTCAACGGAGCGTCACGGGGGTTCAATTAAATCACGGAGGAGGCCGAATTGAGTTGCGTCGTATTGATGGTCTGCTTCAGCACAACACGATTGGGGAGCTGGGGGGGGAGAGACGCGGCGTGGATTCATTGACCCGCGCACGTCGGGAACGCGGTTTGTTCGGCCTCATTCGGTTACCGCGCCGCCTCCACCCCGCGCCGCCGTTCATCTCCCTGCCCAGCCGTCTCTGCTTCATTCGTTTACGCGGCCCAGCCGCCCGGCTCCTCTCCGCATCGCTCCGTGCCCTCATCCCTCTTCCGTGTGCGTCGTTGTTTGCGTGTTTTGCCACGAGTCCGTGCATTCTTGGTGCCTTGCAAACGGTTTCGTCTACATGGCGTTTAAACATCTCAACTCCTCTTTTATTGCCAGAAAAGGGTCAAACATGTTCTTGTTTTGTCATCAGCTCGCTCGCCTGTGCCCCCTCTTACACCCGGGTGGGCTAACGGAGACTCCTCGGCCACAGTCAAAGCAAAATAAACCCGCAACTCAGTTCCCTGTCTCTCCACGCATGGAACGCGAATGCGTTTGATCCCTTTGGCTTATTGGCTCCGGAGACCGATGTTACATCGATTGCAAACGGGTCGCGTGTAACGTTGTAAGGAAATAATCCATCTCCTTGTAATGATTTTACCGTCACTTGTTTGACCATTGCAAGCAGTTACACACTGCTTACAATGACCGATGTGCCGTATGTTGAACTTCTTTCGCACCGTGCGTAGCCAACCGTGCTAATCAGAGGTGCGATGGACCGTACACGTGGACAGTACACAAATAACATGTTGAATAAAATCCGAAAAGTGCAAACGTGGCATAGGAGAGGTGCACATTCATAATGACACCGAGACACACGGAGAGGCAGCCGTGGATCAAAGAACACGCGGCAGAGGCATTGGGTTGAGCCATCACCGTTCTCAGTTGTGACGAGTTGCATCTCAGCCCAGCCACACACGAGGACATTCCGGATATTCACTCAATGTGACGCAATGCAGCTGTGAGAATGGACAGCGGTGGTGTGAGTGCCGTGCGGTGAACGCCGTGCGGGCCAACAGAGACGTGAATCCAAAAGTGGCTCTGCAACATCGCCCGGAGCTGTTCATGTTCACACAAGGTGGTGCACTGCGTAGTCATCATCATTATCATCATCACCATCGCCGTGACGTTGGTGATGTTGACAATGATTCATCTCACAGAAGGAAGAAGCTGCGACATCCCACACAGAGCGGCCGGCGGGAGGGGTGACACTGGAGGAGAAGCACCCACGATGAGCGACATGCACCAGAGCCCACGGCCACCACCGCCACGCCGACCCGCAGCGGAGCTCGCAGCAGTCTCCCGTGCGCTGCCGTGGGCCATCACCGATGCCCGTCGGCGAAGGTCGCGGGACGGACACGCCGAGCGGGTGGGAATGACCCCTGCGGATCAGCTCCCCGGGGGCACTGGGGGCGTGCGGGATGGGGGTGGGGGCAGCGCCACTGTAGCGCTTCGAACCCGGCCACCCGGGTTTGATTCCCGCTCACGGCCTACACCAGTGACGATTATCTGAACCGGTCATGTGCCTCCCATAGGTCGACTCAGCCTCAACTGGGGAGACAAAGGCGGCCGGGTGTGGTGCTAGTCACCCATCCCCTTGTGTGCCGTGCCGGCCTTCATAGGTGCTGCTTGCTAACAGCACTTGCCCCGACAGTCTGTTAAGGCTACATGGGCGATCTTTGTCTGTGGTTGGGCGAGATGGGTAAGTGACCATGCACGGAGCTACGCGGTGTGCAGGCGGTGCAACTGCACCGACCCCGTGGGCCACAGGGGACCCACGGGCGCCGGGCTCCCCTGAGGGTGCAAGACGGACGCGGGGAGCCCCGTTCCGCTCCACAGGGCGCGCGTGCCCACAGCACGTGGGGCAGGGGGTGACGCTTGCTCACCCCGACAGGGACTCGCTCGTTGAAGGCCACAATGACCTCGGCGATGTCCAGGACAGCGCCACCTGACACCACTCATCGACTGCATGACCAAGGAGCGGACCCAGGTCAATCAGCATGGAAGCGCCCAGCGGCGTTAACTGCGCCACCACTTCCCACGGTGGCATCCGTCACGCTCGTCACTGCCACCACGCGCGCACGCCTCGCCGCCTCTGTCTCGTGGAGGCCTCACCTCTCACGGTCTCCTTGGTTGGCTCGGCGAAGAGCGGGATGAGGAGGAGGAAGACGAGGTAGACGAGGGAGAGTCCGTTGTAGCGGAAGAGGCATGCTGCGGGAACGGGGGGGGGGGGGAGAGATTTAATGGTCAGGCGGAGAGCATCGTCCCAGTCCGCCACGACGTCTGGGGATTGGCATCGACGCTGAGGATCGCCCCCCAGAGGATGACTCCTGCCGCTGTCGCTGCCATCGGACCCCCTCCTCTCATCCCCCGATAATCCGAGGGACGTCGCGATTCGCTGAAAACATCGATCAGCTCGTGCCGCTTCATGACACCCAAAGAGTACAAGGCTCAGATTCAGACTCTTTCTTTATCTGCTACTCTGGAGGAATCCGATGAGCTCTGACGCTCTTTTTCACAACTGTTCAGAAGGGGCGCGTCACAAGGTTACAACAACAAAGAGTCCACAAACACAATAGCAGTGCAAAGTATTGGACATGGTAAACAAATCAATTATATTATATGCAAATAAAACTAAACTATTATTTTCATGAGAATAGGGGTTTCGCCTTTTATCTGTTGTTTAAACACCAAACTGAAACCTATTACAAGGAATCATGTCTGCATTAACCACAATGCTTGTGGTCAAATGCAAACAAAAAACATACTCAGATAAACGGGGAAAACCCTATTCTCATATGTTGGTACTGGAACAGGAGGTCCCATGATGTTTTATTTTCATCTTAGCAGGTAAAGTCCACTGAGTTCTTCTTTTTCAGAAGCGACCTGGCAACAAATGATAGCTCAACGAAGTTGGCTCATCGTGTGGATATTGATAGTAGCAAAATAATCTAAGCAATGTTTAACAGTTTCCATAACCCCACTACACCATCGCGCTCTCCGCGAATCCCACCGCCCTAAATTCTGCAATGCACCGCAGGGGCGCGATGATGGAGTGGAGCTGATTTGTCACCCGGATCGCACCCCCCCCCCCACCCCGGTGGCCATCCTCGCAGCAGCAGCAGCAGCTGTTTCTGGTTGGCCGTCGAACAGAGGCGGCTGTCGCCGCATCGCGCGGCGCTTTCAGATGCGCTTCTGCGGCCGTCTGGAACGCTCTTCCCATCCGATATAAGGAAGCCACTGGAGCCATGGCACTTTTAAACCATCATCGAGATTGACAAACTAATTTATTGAGAAATGTTTTTTTTGTTGAGTTTGTCGTCCTCCCCCCGCACCTACGTTTCGTAAGGCTTGGCTACGTACGCTGCAGACGAAATTCAACACACATACATAGCCATGCAGACCCACGCCACGTGAACTCTCTCCCGAAGCCCTCTCGTCGAGAAATGGAACTCCCTCCAGGGCCGGCGCTCGAGATGTGTGCTCGGCCCTGCACCGCCAAACGTCCCATTGGCTCCCCTACCCCAGGTCGTGTCTCCTGCTTAGCGGTGAATCTCTGTCACGGTGAATCTCTGTCACGGTCAATCTCTGTCACGGTCGTTGCCTGAGCCCCCTCCCCCTCCATCTGAGATGAGTCAAGCGGCACTATACACACCTCGCTCTCTCGCTCGCCGCCACGAGAGTGAGGAATCGAAATGCATTCTCTGTCTCATTCACGTCGCTTTTATGTGCAATAATTATCGACTGAAACTTAGCCAGGAAAACATGCTGATGGGATGTGTCAAAAATACGTAACATGTTTTTTAATGTGGGGGGGGGGACCGATGTGTGAAAGTGTTTTGTCTGCTTGTTTATTTATTTTAGTATTTATCGTTAACTGCTGTGAGAGATCACCTATTGTTTGTGATCACCTATTGTTTGTGATCACCTATTGTTTGTGATCAACTATTGGTAGAGATCACCTATTGTTAGAGATCACCTATTGTTAGAGATCACCTATTATTAGAGATCACCTATTGTTAGAGATCGCCTGTTGTTTGTGATCACCTATTGTTAGGGATCACATATTGTTAGAGATAACCTATTGTTAGAGATCACCTATTGTTAGAGATCACCTATTGTTTGTGATCACCTATTGTTAGCGATCACATATTGTTAGAGATAACCTATTGTTAAAGATCACCTATTGTTAGAGATCACCTATTGTTAGAGATCACCTATTGTTTGTGATCACCTATTCTTAGAGATCACCTAATGTTTGTGATCACATATTTTTAAAGATCACCTATTGTTAGAGATCACCTATTGTTTGTGATCACCTATTGTTAGTGATCAACTATTGTTAGAGATCACCTATTGTTAGATATCACCTATTGTTAGAGATTACCTATTGTTAGATATCACCTATTGTTTGTGATCACCTATTGTTAGAGATCACCTATTTTTAGAGATCACCTATTGTTAGAGATCAACTATTATTTGTGATCACCTATTGTTAGAGATCACCTATTGTTTGTGATCACCTATTGTTTGTGATCACCTATTGTTAGAGATCACCTATTGTTTGTGATCACCTATTGTTAGCGATCACATATTGTTAGAGATAACCTATTGTTAGAGATCACCTATTGTTAGAGATCACCTATTGTTAGAGATCACCTATTGTTTGTGATCACCTATTGTTTGTGATCACCTATTGTTTGTGATCACCTATTGTTAGAGATCACCTATTGTTTGTGATCACCTATTGTTAGCGATCACATATTGTTAGAGATCACCTATTGTTAGAGATCACCTATTATTAGAGATCACCTATTGTTTGTGATCACCTATTCTTAGAGATCACCTAATGTTTGTGATCACATATTTTTAAAGATCACCTATTGTTAGAGATCACCTATTGTTTGTCTTCACCTATTGTTAGAGATCACCTATTGTTAGGGATCACCTATTGTTAGAGATCACCTATTGTTTGTGATCACCTATTGTTATAGATCACCTATTGTTAGAGATCACCTATTGTTTGTGATCACCTATTGTTAGCGATCACCTATTGTTAGAGATCACCTATTGTTAGAGACCACCTATTGTTTTTGATCACCTATTGTTTGTGATCAGCTATTGTTAAAGATCACCTATTGTTAGAGATCACCTATTGTTAGATATCACCTATTGTTAGAGATCACCTATTGTTAGATATCACCTATTGTTTGTGATCACCTATTGTTAGAGATCACCTATTGTTAGAGATCACCTATTTTTAGAGATCACCTATTGTTAGAGATCACCTATTGTTAGAGATCAACTATTATTTGTGATCACCTATTGTTAGAGATCACCTATTGTTAGAGATCACCTATTGTTAGAGATCACCTATTGTTTGTGATCACCTATTGTTAGAGATCACCTATTGTTAGTGATCACCTATTGTTAGCGATCACGTATTGTTAGAGATCACCTATTGTTAGAGATCACCTATTATTAGAGATCACCTATTGTTTGTGATCACCTATTCTTAGAGATCACCTAATGTTTGTGATCACATATTTTTAAAGATCACATATTTTAAAGATCACCTATTGTTAGAGATCACCTATTGTTTGTCTTCACCTATTGTTAGAGATCACCTATTGTTAGGGATCACCTATTGTTAGAGATCACCTATTGTTTGTGATCACCTATTGTTATAGATCACCTATTGTTAGAGATCACCTATTGTTTGTGATCACCTATTGTTAGCGATCACCTATTGTTAGAGATCACCTATTGTTAGAGACCACCTATTGTTTTTGATCACCTATTGTTTGTGATCAGCTATTGTTAAAGATCACCTATTGTTTGTGATCACCTATTGTTAGTGATCACCTATTGTTAGAGATCACCTATTGTTAGATATCACCTATTGTTAGAGATCACCTATTGTTAGATATCACCTATTGTTTGTGATCACCTATTGTTAGAGATCACCTATTGTTAGAGATCACCTATTTTTAGAGATCACCTATTGTTAGAGATCACCTATTGTTAGAGATCAACTATTATTTGTGATCACCTATTGTTAGAGATCACCTATTGTTAGAGATCACCTATTGTTAGAGATCACCTATTGTTTGTGATCACCTATTGTTAGAGATCACCTATTGTTAGAGATCACCTATTTTTAGAGATCACCTATTGTTAGAGATCACCTATTGTTAGAGATCAACTATTATTTGTGATCACCTATTGTTAGAGATCACCTATTGTTAGAGATCACCTATTGTTAGAGATCACCTATTGTTTGTGATCACCTATTGTTAGAGATCACCTATTGTTAGAGATCACCTATTGTTTGTGATCACCTATTGTTTGTGATCACCTATTGTTTGTGATCACCTATTGTTTGTGATCACCTATTGTTAGAGCTCACCTATTGTTTGTGATCACCTATTGTTAGCGATCACCTATTGTTAGAGATCACCTATTGTTTGTGATCACCTATTGTTAGAGATCACCTATTGTTTGTGATCACCTATTGTTTGTGATCACCTATTGTTTGTGATCACCTATTGTTTGTGATCACCTATTGTTAGAGCTCACCTATTGTTTGTGATCACCTATTGTTAGCGATCACCTATTGTTTGTGATCACCTGTTGTTAGACATCACCTATTGTTTGTGATCACCTATTGTTAGAGATCACCTATTGTTAGAGATCACCTATTGTTTGTGATCACATATTGTTAGCGATCACCTATTGTTAGAGATCACCTATTGTTAGAGATCACCTATTGTTTGTGATCACCTATTGTTAGAGATCACCTATTGTTAGAGATCACCTATGTTTGTTATCACCTATTGTTAGAGATCACCTATTGTTTTTGGTCACCTATTGTTTGTGATCACCTATTGTTAGAGATCACCTATTGTTAGAGATCACCTATTGTTAGAGATCACCTATTGTTTGTGATCACATATTGTTAGCGATCACCTATTGTTAGAGATCACCTATTGTTAGAGATCACCTATTGTTTGTGATCACCTATTGTTAGAGATCACCTATTGTTAGAGATCACCTATGTTTGTTATCACCTATTGTTAGAGATCACCTATTGTTTTTGGTCACCTATTGTTTGTGATCACCTATTGTTAGAGATCACCTATTGTTAGAGATCACCTATGTTTGTTATCACCTATTGTTAGAGATCACCTATTGTTTGTGGTCACCTATTA